TGCCGGTCAATTTTGGTTTTTCTCCAGCCACTTTTCAAGTAAGTGTCAACGGATGATGATCAAAGGTGTGTCTGAACTCAGAGGAAGGTTACCATCAAGGCAGCAGCTCCTGGCCAGTGAGGGGATGGCAGCAAGGGGTGCTGGGAAGGTTCTGTTCTGGCCACTGGTGAAATCCTAGGACATAAAAGGGAATGAACTGTTCTTTCCGTTCCCTTGGGTGGCAGGCAGTTATATAATGTTTCATTATCTTTCTCTAGCAAAAGGGAGAAGCCTGAGAGAGGAGACACCACAGATGCTTAATTGGTTTTGATTTTGGAAATGTAAGTCTTGTTTAATACCTAACTTTTATCCTCAGGAAAATTCAGACTTGCCAAAGGAATTCACCTCTGAACTAACGTAGACAGCTTTAACTTAAACGAATAACTCTGGGAAGTTAGAAGTGAAAGAGACACAGAAGAGAATCAGCCCAGATGGATTTCCTGGCTTCATTTGCAAACGACGTATGAAATACACCTGTTGGTGCCTGCTGAGCAGAGAATCTGTGAACACCCTTGATCTTCCTTGCCTTTCTCCAGGAAGACTTTTGAGCTCAGGAGGATGGCCTTCTGCTCCCAAGAGGCTGTAGGCTCTCTTTGAAAAACTAAGTGAGCAACTTGCTTGTCAAGAAGTCATGCACACACGCACAACAAAAGGGAGGTGTGAATGTGGCAGTTATCATGTGTAGGACCATCACCTGGAAGATCCTGAAAGTGCTTTTGATATTTTCAACAGACCGTCATGAGAAAGCAAGCACAAAGTTTGGGAAAGGGTCTTAGGACTTTGGTGCCTTTGGCAGGAGTCAGCAGTGCTCATTTTGAGAAAACAACCCTTTCTATGTAACAAACGGGTGAACTAGACCACCCAACACTTACGAGGGTATTACAATGCACTGAAAACAGCCAGTAAGGGTGGGCGTTGGGTGCAGAGGTTTGCATCCATTACCCAAGAGCATGGGATCAAATCTCGACTTTCCTCCCCCTTCCTGCTCATGTGCACCCTGGGAAGCAGCAGGTGGTGGCTCCAGGGCTTCAGCTCTTGGCAAGCACATGAGAGACCTGCATTGAATTCTTGCCTCCTGGCTTTGGCCGGGCCTAGCCCTGGCTATTGCAGGCATCTGTGCGAGACAGAAACCAGCAAAGGGAGAGCTCTGATCTCCCTCCCCCAGCTGCCCGCCTCCCGACAAAGAACTGGATCATTAAATAACAGACGCCAAGTACAGCCATCCACTTACTTACGCCCCATAACCCATTCCAAGTGAAATCTAAGATGTGACTGATGATAAGCTGTACACAGAGGAGGGACAAACATTCAGTAGGAATTCCTGATTCACAGACGGTAAAGTGAGAAAAAGAAACCCCTGTGAGTTGTGTGTGGCACCGACGGGAGAGCACAGGGCCCAGCAAGGGGACTGATGCCCCAGTCGGCCTTCCACATGTGCTTCGTAGCACTTCTGTACCTTCGCAGCTCTGCGACCTTGGGCAAACTGCTTCACCTCACCCTCGCTGTGTTTCTGTTTTCATAAACTATAGTATTATTATTGTTTAGATTAGCCATGCCTTCTTCTCACTAGACTACTATGAAAACTAAATACAATTGTTTTTAATATAACAGTATTTAATAAGAAGGTATGCTAAAAAGCTTACAGAAAGTGGAACTGAAAGGTAAGTCTTTTTAGTACAAATCTTTAAAAACTCTAAGCATAGTTTTTTCATAATATGTGTTCCATGAACTTTTTGAAAGTTTCCCATTGTGGCTAGCACTTTTTAGTGTCTTATCACAGCTGTTATTACAAGTCTCGTCAGGACAGAATTAAGAAGTTAGCAAATCTTAAATGGTTTTCTTTAATCTAAATGAGTTGCCCTCGTCTCATTTCTCGGCAAACCTTTAGATGCTGTTTGAAATAAGTGGCAACAGCTTGGTTTTCCCAGGGCCTTTGTTCTCTGGAAATAAAATGAAATTATCTTCTAAAACCGAGTTGAGTACCTTCTTAAATCGAAGAATCACTCAGGGCCTTTAAGAACCTGATGACTCAGACACAAGGGGTGATACTTTGCATATTGTTTTGCATGCCATTTGCATGCTACTAGTTCATTTTTGTTTGAAGTGAAAATCTGCCCACCACCTGCTTCTTTCCTAGTGTTTCCGGTCCTAGGTATGGACTTGGCTGTCTCTGCCTGGGAAGGTTAAAGCAGCCCGGTAGAACAAAGAAGGGTAGGTCTGTCCCTGGCTGTCCACCAGGCTGCTGCAGGTCAGCTCCCGGCATCTCCGTGGGCTACCTCCCACGGAGGATAACCACGGACCCGCCCCCCAAAAAACCCATAACCTACACACAGCATCAGGCAGTTTCTCCTGAAGACCACACCCATCCCTCCGACCCCAGGACACAGACAGGCCCGATGGAAAAGCCAGCAATTATACAGCTCTGTGGCTTAGAGCACAGTTCCTCTCCTCCAAGATGAATCCATGCAAAGTTGTCACATAATGAACATGCCACACAGTCACCTTCGCTCCTAAAACTATGCAGATTGAAATGAACATTAGCTAGCTTCCAGCAGAACGGAAGGGAGGGCAGCACCAGACCACGGCCCTATTGCCAGACCCCGGCTCAGTCATCACCAATCACTGGGGGCAACGGAGCCTTCCTGCCGGCTTGTCCCCAGTGATAATGGATTTACAGATTGCCCTAAGTATAAATAAAGTTCACTTAGTTGTTTCTGGGGGAAGAACCGAATGTTCTATAAACCCAGACATCTACATAGACAGTGAGGTAAACAGAGCATCTACCCACGCTTCCAGTTCCTGACCGGAAGTTACATCAAACCCAGAGGTAGCTGGAGGGCCTGGGTTCAAATCCTGGCCTTGCTCTGTAGTCCAGCTTCCTGCTAACGCACATCCCGGGGGAGCCAGTGGTGACAGCTCACATCCTGGGGTCCCAGCCTCTGGGTTCCCAGCGTCTGGCTCTGGCCTGGCCCAGCTCTGGTGTTTCCGGGCATTTGGGCAGTGAGCCAGTAGGTGGGAGCTTGTTTTCTCTGTATCTGTATCTCAAATACAGACAGACATTTTAAAAAAAAAGTGTAGCAATATCTTACAGAGTATGACAGAAAAAAATCTATCTAGGAGGTTACTTTAAAAAAGGTTCACAAAATAGGGAATTTTCATGGATTTTAACAATTTGTTTTTCACCTAGATAAAGTCTTTTAATTCCATTTCCATAAGCATTATGAATTAAAAAATAAACTGGAATTAAAAGACAGCTACTGGGCCAAGCATGGTAGCCTAGAAGTCCTCACCTTGCATGTGCCGGGGTCCCATGTGGGCGCCAATTCTAATCTTGCCAGGCCCGCTTCCCGACTATCTCCCTGCTTGTGGCCTGGAAAAGCAGTCAAGGACGGCCCAAGGCCTTGGGACCCTGCACCTGCATGGGAGACCCAAAAGAGGCTCCTGGCTCCTGGATTCAGACTGGTTCAGCTCCAGCCATTGTGACTACTTGGGGAGTGAATCAACAGACAAAAGAGCTCTTTGTCCCTCCTCCTCTCTGTATATCTGACTTTCCAACAAAAATAAATCTTAAAAAAAACAAAATAAAACCAAACACAACCACCTTCAACCCCCTTCCCAAACTGCTGCCTTAGCAGGGGTTCCCTTGCTCCCTGAGCTCCAGGGGAAAGGGTGCCCCACGAGGCTGGCAGCCCTGCCCCGGCCTGGCTCTCCGGCTCTGTGAGCGTGAGTGTAGTCAGGAGCAGTGTGGGACTGCCTCCCTGGACTCGGTCCTCTGGGAGAGAGGCGGCGGCAAGAGCAGCCAGAGTAGGAGACGAGAGTGGGGAGGGCAAGGGAGTGAGATCCAGGGTGGCCAGGGCGAGCAGAAAGCCTGACGAGAGCGAGGTTGGGGTCCTGGAAGCATGGGAGACTCTCAGACCACCGACCTCAAAGGAAAGCCATTCAGCCCTGGTTCCTTACAGAATAGGGAGCCAGTCTTCAGACAAGGTCCCAGTAAGCACCGTGTACTGGGTTGCAGTGGGTTAAGCTGCTCCTGCGGTGCCCACATCTACACCTGAGTGCTGGTTTGAGACCTAGCTGTTTGGCTGTTGATTCAGCTCCTTGCTCATGTGCCTCGGAAAACAGCAGAAGACCAAGGACTGGGCCCTGCCACCTATGTGGGGGGCCCTGGTGGAGTTCTTGGTTCCTGGCTTTGTCCTGGCCCAATCCAGCTGTGATGGCTGTCTGGAGAAGGCACCGATAGATAGAAAATCCATCTTTCCTACTCATTCAGTATTGCTCTCTTAAAACAAAAACAAATACATCTTTTATTTTTCACTTAAAAAAAAAAAGAAGAACCAGTGATCTATCCAGTATATGTTATTACCAAAGAATAAGGGAAGTATGTAGTAGTAGAATATTAGAAATATTTGAAACAATTGGAATACTTTTCATAAGATCTGTGGTTAGGAAACCCCACACCCCAAGAGCAGCAGCACCAATTCTTGAGCACAAATGCAAAACCCGAGTTTATCCTACTCCTCGATAACGCTAGCTAAAGCGAAGGCTACCAGCTCTCCTCCTGGCCAACCTTCAGGAAGAAGAGCAACAGAGGGAGTGTGCACGGCAGGGGCAGCTTCCGGGCTGCAGGCAAACATCCCCAACATCCACTTCGCCCGCATCCCTTTCCTCTCCTCTCAGCAGCTGCTGGAGAGTAACCGCAGGAGCCAAAGCTAGCTGAAGAGTGCTCGTGGAGGTGAACCCCACATCCAGTTCAGCACGCGTACTTCCACGGACGAGCGAAGGGCCACCCTTCCCTTCTCATACTAACCTGGCTGCTCTTCAAGAACGCCTACGAGGAGGCGGCAGAAGGGATATGATTTTCAGGGTTGTTTCATTTCCAGTCCTTTAGTTTTTGAAGAAGAGATCAATGGCATCACAAGGCATGAGGCATCTGGAAGGTTGTAGGCAGCTGCTCAGCTTACCTGCTGTCCCCAGCATTTGCCACATACAGCTTTCCCAGGAGGCAGACCACAATGAGGGCTGTGCAGCCACCGGATATGTTGTAGGAGCTCCTCTCTCGTTCTATCTGCAGGTCCTGCAGGAAAGAAAACCAAGTCAGTGCCACGATGTTTCAAGCAGGGATAAGTCCCTCGTGTTGAGAGGACCGTAGTGCAAAAGCACCCTACGGCAGCTCCCCTCCCTGCGGCGCGGAGATACCGTGGTCGGATAAAAACGAGCAGAACAAAATGGAAATTGCATCCCACCCACGGTGGTCGCAGCTTCTGGGACAGTCAGACTTTGGAGAAGCCACAGAAACTGCCATGTGGCACATACGAGAAGGAGGCCGGCAAGGCCAAATATGTGGACCTGGTCTAGGTTTTACATTCCAAGTTTAACTAGTTTGTTTTATGGCTAGATGAGAGAAGGGTCCTCGATGTCACCCAGACAGGAGTCAACTCCTGCTTAAGATTAGAGACACTGCTGCACGCTGACTGGACTTCTGCACGCACAGTCACTGATTCACAGCAAACGGCATCGTGCCCAGGGCGAGCTCTGCTGGGCCAGGAGCCGACAGTCTCACTCCATCGTCCCAGCCCGCCTCACTTAGCTTAGAGGCAGGGCGGTGGGGGAGATGGCACCCCCTTGGTTGGAGGCTGGACTCCGGCCTGGCTCCCCCTTCAAGCCCTCTCCGAGACAGTGAACAATAGACCTCCCCTTCAATCAGCACACGGGCAACTTAACTACTATCTTGTTTATTTTAAAGATCAGGGACAGACAGAATCTCCCATTCGCTGCCTCATGTCCCGAATGCCTGAAACTAAGGCTGGGAGAGGCTGCAGCTGGGAGTGTGAACTCAACCTTCATCTTGCTCGTGAGGGGCGTGGAGGCCATTATCTGCTGTCACCCACCTGCAATAATTGCAGGATGTCAGAATCCAGAAGGGGACTGGGACTTGAACCCAGGTCCTCCAGGCACGTACCAAGCCAGTGTCCACCCCGCTTTTGTGAACTTGTGCGTCAGAGACAAAAGGGTTCTGAGATGTCAGGAAAACCATAGCTGCATGCCAAGTTAGAACCGGGGCAGACACCTGTTGCTATTGTTGGCAGAGGGCAGGAGAACGCAGCTGGGTGAAAAGCTCAGGAGGACAGAGGCGAGGTGCCTGGAGGACCGAGACAGCACTGCCACAGATCCAGTTCCAGGGCATACAGTGCTTCTCGGATACCTCCGAGTGGTGGCTTGGCTGCTCCAGCTTCCTCGCGGTAAAGGCAGAGAGAATCGGCAATTCAAGAGTGACCAGCAACTGCTCACTCAATGGGTCAGAGACGGGAGGGACATGAAGGCAGATAACCACCAAGGAGCAATGCACAGGACAGCGGAGGACAGAGGTGAGGAGCTGCACGCTGGTTACAATACAAAGAAAGCAGAAGGGAAGTGTTTGGCATGGTGGTTCAGAGTCCTTGGCCCCACGGCAGCAGACCCGGGAGTGACACCTGGATCCGTTCTTGACTCTGGCTTCCTGCTAACGTGCACGCTGGGAGGCAGCTGTGACAGTTCAGGGACTTGGGACCCCCGCCACGGGGGAGACCTGGACTGAGTTCTTGGCTCCAGGTTTTACCCTGGGCCATTGTGAGCATTTGGGGAGTCAGCCAGCAGATGATGGGGACGTTCCGTGACTCAAACCAGTAAGTAACTGGGGTAAGCTGCTGAGGGGTCAGCCACGGGGCCAGCTGTTCAGGTACAGACCATCTCCCCTTCCGATGGCCAGCTCTGAAAATCATCCATTTCACAGCGGTGCCAAACTGAACCGATACGGAGGATCTTGTCCTTTCCCCGGGCTAGCCACGCATAGTAGGGCACACTGCTGTGACGTGGGCAGCGGCAGTGACCACAGCTCCCAGTGGAGCCTGCTCGCGGCGTGCCGAGCCACCTTGCACAGGGCAGGTGTAGCCAGGTGCATTTTTCCACTTGCAATGCGTTCATCGAGACGGAGACTCATGGTGTGTCAAACAGCATCAGCCTACTGGATTGCCAACGTTCCTGAAGCCCACGGATGTTGGCCTTCTTCACGTGTCGCTGGGAGGAGCCAACGGCATGGCACGTCTGAATCACTCAAGCCTGAGAGACGGTTTTTATTAAAATTTCTTGAGCACCCAACTGCTCCTGTACGGAAGAAGGGCTAGAATGGCGATGAGATTTGACAGACTTAATCAACTCATTGGTGTGATGCAAAAGGGGAAAGCCACCATGGTACACAGAATTCATGCCGAAGTTTTCCGTGGCAAGGAATTCCTCCGAGACGTTCGTCCTGCACTGGAGGCAGCTGTGCTGTTGGCACAGTTTGTGTCACATGAAAATCCAATTAAAAATTATTTAATCCTTGGGGGGGGGAATATCAGGACAAAGCATTCCCACTTAGATCTTCTCTGAGTTCCTATCTGGATGGTGTTTTTTGGGTGGGGGGAGGGGAGGGGCATTCCAGTTAGCTTACCCAGTTAACCCCGTGCTAGCCTGTTAACACATAAAGATTCTATTATCTTTTTATTGCATTGTTTCTTCCACTGCTCTCCCCTCCCCCCTTTTAAAATTTCAACTCCATTCCCTCTGCAGCTCCCTCCAGAGTAAGGAATACTGAATCTGGCACTCCTTTCTCATCAAGGGTGGATGAAAGCCTACTTTTTTAATCCAAGAAACTTCGCTCATATGTGCTTGCGGTCACAAGCCCCTCCTCCACATCTGGGGGAGGGAGCAACACACACGCACACACACATTTTAATTAAGGGTGCTCTGGGGGAAGGGGGGCCACGGGGAGGAAGATGTGAAAGCTGGGTCTCTGTGGACTGCATCCCCCCCCCCCGAAGGATTCACTGGCATTAAACACACACTCTTCAATTTCTTCCAAAAGTATGTGCAACTAGAACATATTCTAAAAATAATTGCTCCCCGCCCTTCCTCCCTAGAAGCCAAAATAGCACATTTATTTTTTTTTCCCTGCACACACCACCTACTCCTCACTAAAAAAAGACGTTTCACAAAAATTTCAGTATGAAGACAACACGAAAGGGCCATCTGAGTGGCTATTTTTTTTTTTTACTATCAGATCAAACATATTAGCAGATCAACAGAGACACATTTACTACTCAATCAACTATACCTTTTTCTCTCAAGCTTTCCAGCTTTCAAATTCCTATTAGCTTTCACCACTCTAGGCTAAAAAATGTGTATCTATTATCTGCACAAAGAAATCCAAGTTCGGGGTTTTTCACACAGCACTGAAATCGTGGGGGGGACAAAGGACTGATGTGGTGTTTTTGCTTTTCTCATTTTACTTGCCAATGGATCCCAAGACTTAAACCTAGAATAAATTACCAGCAAATCATTTGAACATGCTATCATTCCTGTCAAGTATGGCCCACGAGTATCACTCCGATGACTTGAGATTCAATTAATCGGATACTTGGGTTATCTGCTTAATCCAGAATCCTGAAGACCTTCACAGGCAACCTGCGACCGTTCGCACTGCACTCTCCCGTCTTGCATTTGCTTACACATTGCATTGATGCTAGGCTTAGCTCTCAATCACAGAATAGATCCAATGTTTAAAACCTGGGATTTGATTTTGTACTTTCTTGTTGTCGCAAGGGGCAGCAACAGAACAGTGAAAGAAAGGCGTGTGAATTGAGACTAAGCTGGCAGGAAAGAACTCCACGGGAGGAGGCTTCATTGCCCGGGTTGGCCGTGATTTGGGCGGAAAGTCCCAGATGATGCAACTCGAGGGTCCCGTTCTGTTTCCTACAAATTCAGGTTGCAAGCAGCAGAAGGGAATGAGTGCGGAGCAGTTTCCAAAGGACCTGGCAGCTCCTCCAGCTGGACTAAAACAAGGTTCTGAGCACAGCACTAACAGTGTCCGTCACAAATAATAAGATTCTGCATGGTGTTGTATTCCGGGTCTGATCCTGGTTTATTCTGAGAAGGAGGCCATCTGCCAGTTAGGCAGAGAACAAAAAAAAAAAAAAGTGCATTTCTACCTCGTGTTGCCACCTGCTGGCTGCCTAGTGGAATACATGCTCATTTTTTTTCCTGGAGGAACTTGATGTTGTAACAAAAAACAGACCCAAACCAAACCTTAACTAAAGCACAGATAGCTGTCCAGGTCCCCAGCTTACCATTAATATTCTGATTTTTGGGAAAACATTAGGGTAAAAAGGTTATGAATAAGCTTACATCATTCTCTCCCTTTTTCACCACAGTGTTGTCCAAATCTGTAGGATTTTTACCCCAAAAGCCCAGCTGCTAGCCATAGCCAACTATTCCCTCAGTTGTGGAAAAAACAAGTCATTCCACAAGTAAAACGTTACCATGTCTTTCTATCTCCCAAATAAATAATTTCTAAACCTTACCAGTTCTCTACTTCCTAGCAGTCAAACATCCATGCATACTTGAGTGCAGTGGGGAACCGACACCCACCCTCGACAGGAACCAGGCCAGGAGTCTGTGGTTTTCCTGGCACAGCCTGAATTCAAATCCTGTCGGCCACAGGCTGAAATGCTAAGCAGTGCTGAGTTGGTTCCCACTCTCGGGAGCACAAAGACTTTCTTGAGCTCTCCTGGCAACACAACTCAGCCCCAAATGCCAACTCGGCACTTTCCTGGGGAGTGGGGAGTGGTGGGGAAGGAGGCAGACCTGAAATGAGGACATGGAAGACCTTTATCTGACTTGTTTGAATCATCCTGGGCGAAGCCGTGAGCTAAACATGCTAGGTGTCTGAACTTGGCCGCCGAGGAAATGGTGGTGGTGGTGGTGGGTGGGTGGTGGTGGGTGGGTGGGTGGTGGTGGTGGTGGGTAGGTGGGTGAGGGGTGGTGGTGGTGTGGAGGGGGTGAAGCTGAAGTTGTGTCCTGCGATCCAACCCTTTGGGAAGCCACGGATTGTTTTCCACCATGGACACAGCAGGGACTGGCTGTAAGCCTTCTCACTATGCAGGAAGACCAGAGATGAGATGGAACAGTAGGGCAGCCGTGCTGCCAGCAGCATGCACAGTGCGAACTGAAGCTGGTGGACAGAGGTCGTGTTCCCCCACCAGCTCCTGCCGTGCCAGGAACCTGAGCATCAAAGGGGAAAGCAGAGCTCAGTGTCTGCTGAAACTGTGAGCAACTCCCCTGTGCAAAGCTCCCTATCCTATGAGGCTACGTCACCCTCTTCCCCAGGAAACAGGTACTGTTCAATTTAGTTCAATGGTTCAACCAGCTCATTTTTTTTCTCAGATTCTTCCTTTTAGATAGATTGCAATATCGCACAACCTCCTTCAACAGGAAAAGGGGTACTATTCATTCCTGCCTGAGACAACAGGGACCAATTGGCTCTCTCCGTGGCACAGCGTCCTAGCACCCACCCACCCACCAAGTGCCATGAGAAGCAAAGAACTGCCGGGCCTGCTCATGTCACATGGTGTGCATTGCACGAGAACAAAAGTGGACAAAGGTGGGAGGAAGGGCATGGGAGATGGGGAGGGGGTGGGCTGGAGAGGACCAAACCTGGGAAGGGGATGTAGCTTAGAGCTTATGGTTCACACAGCTTCCACCTTCCAGATCTGAACAGCAAAAATCTAAAATACTCCCAAATCTGAAACTTTAAGTGCCAACATGACATTCCACATGAAAAACTCTACACTCCAAAACTTTGTTTCACATCAAAAATCAATAAGAATATCATACAAAATCATCTTTGTGGTTATGTGTCTCAGGTATAAATGAAACATAAGTGAATTCTGATTTTAGATTTGGGTCCTGTCCCCAAGATGTCGCACTATGTAAATGTAAATATTTTAAAGTCCCCAATCAACCTGTGGTCCCATGCCCGTCAGCTAAGGGCTATCCACCTTGTCCGCCACACCAGGCCCTGCACAGCGCTGTTTGGAGGCTTTCAGAGTGCCTCCAAGTCACCCTGCACTGGTCCTGCCCTTGAACTCCATCTTCCCACCATGGCACATGTCAGACATTAGCCTACCTGGTGTCTCTGCTGTGGTTCTTCACTTGGATGCCTCCTGGCTTCACCTCCTACCTACCCTAATACCACTTCCTTGGGCACCCACTTCCTTGGGCACCCGCTTCCCTGAGGCACCCACTTCCCTGGGCACCCTGAGGTACCCACTTCCCTTGGGCTCCCACTTCCCCGGGCACCACTTCCCTGGTGCCATGCCTTCAATCCATTACCAGACTTGGACTTCACCTTGCGCTTCCCTTCCCAAGGTTCTTCCCACTTCCATTTTACTTGTTTAATTCTCATCTCTGCCTGATGTGATCAAAGCTGTTTTCCCACTCAGGCCTGGAATCTAGTCATTTCCCAATAAATACTCATTGCCCAAACGAACTACATGTGGAAGTGAAGCATGCCTTTTTTTTTTTGTTTTGTTTTGGTGGCAACTACATTTTCAAGAAACATGTCAGGTGATAAATCAACCAGTTAAATGCTGAAACAAATTTAGAAGACAAGCAGAAGATGCCTTTTGTGAATGAAAAAGTCATCTCAGGGATGCTAGCAGCAGTCGCCCAGAGCCGGCCATGGGAGCCTGGTTGATGTGACATTGGCCTCTAGTGGATGGAGCTGGGAAGGCAGCAGACCCAACTTCAAGAGGCACAGCCCATCAGGGAAGCAATGGAACTCGAATTCCTCCACCAGACTCTCATTCCTACTGGGTCAACATTTTCTTCAGGTTTGAGGAGAATCCACTGTCAAATCCTTGCCTCAAATAAGTATTTAGCATGCTGGGTACTAATATGAAGAGATACTTAATATTTCACTTTATTTTGGAAGGCAGGGACACTTGTAAGAGAGTTCCCGCTTGCTACCTCACGTCCCAGATGCCCACAACAGGCAGGGATGGCCCCGGCTGAAGCCTGGCGCCCGGAACTCCGTCCAGGCCTCCTGTGAGGGTGTCAGAGATACCAGCAGGTGACCCACCGCCTGCAGCAGCTGGCCAGGGTGTGCATCAGCAGGAAGCGGGTTGCCAAGTGACGCTGGGTCCCTAAAACAGGCACTTCCACTATGGGATGTGATGCCCCAAGTGATGTCCAAAACGCTATGCTCTCTGCCCACAGGTAGCAAAATTTACTCACATCAGAGCTCTTCAAGATTCCGAGTGTGGGATTCAACAGGCAGGCCCAAGTGGAGTCACTTCCATCTTCATTCCCTTTTCCCTAACTCTGTCCCCACTTCCTGGTGTTCTTCGTCTCCATTCACCTTACCCACAAGTCCTTACAAAAATGGCTAAGCATATTACTTTTTGGATGCAAGTTGCTGTGCAGGAAAGACAATCTTTAGCCCAAAAGCAACTGCCTCAGCACAAAAATGAATCCACAGAGAGCCGAGAGGAGGAGGCCTGCCCCTTGCAAGCCTGCTGGGATACGGGAGAGCAAGGGACATCTTCAGAACTTAACGCCCAGTCCTCCCAAGCCTCCTCAGGAGCCAGGCTGCTCGAGAGGTCCAGACCAGACGCATTCTAATGGAAACACACCAACTGGCATGCCCCAACATCCTTCGGCCTGTGGGCCCTGCTCTCCTGCAATTGCTACTTTCACAGCAGAGTGACTCGTTTGCTAGTCCTGATCAAGGAGTTGGTTTCAGGTCACATCTGTGCAGGAGGGGTGCTTCTCGGCACTTCCCCCAATCATGTGGATTTCAGACACACGAGTCCAGCAGAAAGCAACCTTGCTCCCAGTTCAATCAGGTGGAGTTGCACCTGCTGAGCTTGATGCAACAAGCAATCGTGCCTGCACAAGGTCTATGGCGCAAGGCACTAACCCTCCCCTCCATCTCCTTCGTCTTTGCCAAGGCCACGGCTTTCTAGCTGCCGCTTCCTTCCTGTGAATGCCAGCCCCTTTACAAAAGGGAGCTCTGTGGGCTTTCTGCGACCTTCCCAAGAAGAGAGGGTTGTGGGAGCTGCTTACCATCTCCTTGAATGCGCTTTCCAGGGCCCCGATGACCAGGCACTCGTGCGGGATCTTCTTCTCGGTGAAGAAGCGCGTGGGTGGGGCGCTGGGGGAGCCCGGGGCTCCGACGCCCCCGCGCAAGGAGGCGGCGCGGGTCAGAGTCCGGCTGGGGGCTGGCGCCGTCTCGGGCTCCTCTCCCAGGCACGTGGGGGGCAGCACGGCCGAATTCTTGAGGATCTCCACGAGGTCCTGCAGCTGCTCGGTCACGTGGTGCTGCAGCAGGCGGGACGCCACCACTGCGGCCCCGGAGCCCGCGTGGCCGTCGAACAAGGACCAGTAATGGCAGGAAACACCCTCGCATTCCTGATGGGAAAGGACAGCAGGGGTGAAGTGAGCCACGAGGTCGTGCAGGGACCAGACACGTGGTTGCATGGGGTCTGCCAACAGTGGAGCCAAAACGTGGCAGAAACACGCAGGGATGGGTGTGTGCGTCAGGCGCTTCTGCATGTACGACCCAAGGAAAGGGGGGGGGTGGGGGTCTCTCCTGGGCCCCTGGGGAAGAAGCCCACTCGGCCCACGCGAGCCCAGCTTCGCCCAGCACCCCTCACCTCTCTGCATTTCAAGTCTTTTGAGAAAGGCCCTTTTTCTCCAGGAAGTTAGTGGGCCCAGGACTCCCATTAGGGCCCTCGGACCCTCGGGTCTCATTCTCCTTGGGCTGCATTTTGAATTCCTCAAACCCTGTGTTTTTTTCCTAGGTTCTCAGCCTCGTTCAGGCCTCCCAGAATGCAACCGATTCAAACCCCCTTCTGCTTCTTCCTCTTCCGTGCCTAAGCTCTCAGCCCCACTCCATTTCTTCCTCCTTAAATCTACAGGCAGTCACGTCCCCCCATCTATCAGGGACTTAGGACCTGAGCGCTTTAAAGAGCCACGGAGGAACTGCACATGCGTAAGCATAGGAGAGCAGCTCAGTGGACAGTCTGGTCAGCCAATCACGGACAAGGCTGCCGGGAGCACACACCAGCGAGAGATGTTCACTGTCTTAGAACACTGCCTGTTCACATGCAAAACAATGACATTGGACTATGTTCCATCACACGTAAGAATTAACTCAAAATCAATCGGATGCCTGAATATAAGGCCCGACACTGTGAAACGCCTACATGGGGGAACACGTGTTTTCCTTAATATTAATCTTGGCAGGTTTTTTTTTTTTGATACCTCAAAAAGCCAAAGGAAATTAGACGTATGAGAAGACATTAATAGAACTAGCTTCCGCCTTTCAGAAGTAAGTGAACAGAATGTAAAGGCAACCTAAAGAATGGGAAAAATATTTGTAAAGCATATGGCCAGTAGTCTTAATTATCAAAATACACAAGGAACTCCTACAGCTCCCTTGCAAAGAGAAGAGCTGATTAAGACACTGCTCCAAAGACGACACGCAAATGGCAGTCTATCAAAACATTCAGTATGCGCATCGTTGCTCCCGGAACACTGAGGCATTCTTCCTGATCAGATGAAGGGCTGTGTGACAAGCCTACAGCCAGCGTCACCCCTCGTGGTGAAACGCCCAGCGCAAGTGTGCACCCTCCCCACTTCTCAGCTTGCCCTGGAGGTCCCAGGTGGACAAGACGGTAAAGGGACAGAAAGCTGCTCTCCCTGGGAACTACCTGATGACAATGCACTTCGCTGCCAACTGTCTTCGTGTTTCACACGCTTGCGGTTTTTCATTCTGGAATCTGAGTTGATGCACCCAGCACGATGGCTCAGTGGCTAAATCTTTGCCTTGAATGCACCAGGATCCCATATGGACACCAGTTGGCTGTGTTCCACCTACTCCGTTTCCCATCCAGCTCCCTGCTTGTGGCCTGGGAAGGCAGTAGAGGACGGCCCAAAGCCTTAGGAGACCCTGCACCCACGTGGGAGACCGGGAAGAAGCTCCTGGCTTCTGGTGTCAGATCAGCTCAGCTCCGGTCATTATGGCCACTTGGGGAGTCAATCAGTGGACAGAAGATCTTCCTCTCTGTCCTTCCTTCTCCCTGTAACTCTGCTTTCCCAACAAAAATAAACATAGCCTTAAAAATAAATCCAAGTTTAAAGTGATGTTTACCAAGTTTAGAATTTTTTCAGCCTTTACTTCTTCAAAATGATTTCTGTATCACTCTCGTTCTTTTCCTTTGAAGAAACTAATTATACACATTACTCCCTAGAAGTTGGCCCATTAAAATCTCATTTTGCAAATCGCTGCTACAATGCATTTACATGTACTTCTCTTCTCTTCCTTCCGGACAAAAAAATGTGCAAAGATCTGAGTAGACTTCTCCCGAGACAGGCAACGGCCAACACGTGCAGCCCAGGAAGCTGCTCAGCATCGCTACTCAGCAGGCAAATACACATCAAAACCACAAAGAGGTTTCACTTGTCACGACCTGTATTATCAAAACCCAAACAACACCAAGTGACAAGTGCTGGCCACACACGGCATATCCCGCACGGCAACGAGTATGGTGGTTCCTCAGAAAATGAAAAACAGAACTATGACATGACCTAGCAACCCCATGTCTGGGTATATACTCCAAGAGAATGATAATCAGTATTTTGAAAAGGTATCTCGTGGCTGCACATGTATTGCAGTATATATATATATATATTAAAACAGACAAGTATTGGGGGAAAAAAAACCTAGGTGTCTATCGTAGATGAATGGAAAAAGCAAATGTGACACACACACACACGTTCTGCCGTTTGTGACACCAGAGAACACTCTGCTTAGTGAAATATGCCAGGCACAGAGACACACAGGACCTCTTTTTCCCTTTCTGTTGCTCTAGCTTTCAAGTAAATGAGCAAAGAGAAATAAATCCTCTTTATTATTTTTAATTGTTTCAAGCATTTTTAAAAGATTTAATTATTTTTGTTGGAAAATCAGATATACAGAGAGGAGGAGAGAGATATAAAGATCTTCCATCTGCCCAAGTGGCTGCAATGGCCAGAGCTGAGCTGATCTGAAGCCAGGAGCCAGGAGCTTTTGCTGGGTCTCTGCCACATGTGTGCAGAGTCCCAAGGCCTTGGGCCATCCTTGACTGCTTTCCCAGACCACAAGCAGGGAGCTGGATGGCAAGCGGGGCTGCCAGGATTAGAACTGACATCCATGTGGGATTCTGGTGCGTACAAGGTGAGGACTTTAGCCACTAGGCTACCAAGCTGGGTCCATAAATCCTTTTGAAAAAGTGACTAAGTGTGGGTATTTGGCCTAGTGGTGAAGACACTGCTGGGATCCCCCCGCCGCATTTTGGAGTGCCCTGCGTTCTGTTCCAGCTGTACTTCTGATCTTGTTGCTGGGGAATGCACACTCCAGAAGACAGCAGGTGACAGCAGTGGGACCCTGCCACCCATGTGGGAAACCTGCTCCAAACTTTGGTCTGGGCCAGTCCAGGCCACTGTGGGCATGTGGGAAGCCAGCCAGCAGATGGGAGCTCTCCTGCTGCCTGCTTCTCTGCCTCTCATTTTTTTTAACTTCAGACATAACTAGGACAAGAAAATATGAAATCATGCATTTTTTAAAAATCCCCCCTCACATGTAACTGGCAATACCCCCTATCTACACTGCCCACATGTACACCCTCAGATTCTTTCAGGAATAGCTTTGCAATCTGATGGATGGAAGATTGCAGAAGGTGACAAGTCAGTAGTTTTAAAATTCACAGAATCTCTTTTAGCCTTCTCTAAAGTTGACTTGACGTTAGGACCTCTTCAAAAATTTCTCAAAGTTGCTACAATGTTGCCACCTATCCCCCCCCCTCCTTTTATTTTGCATTTTTTCATAATCATCTATGACGCGCGAACTCTAACTACAAAGTACTTCTTGGGCCCTTCCACAAATGCAACCCTGCTCCAAATGGAAATGCATCTACAGAAATAATTCCATTTACAAAGGCTTGGTGCCAATCCAGCTGCAGAGTAATCATAGGAAAACCACCCATGGATGTCAGAACAATCCTAAAGTTGAGCCACGTGGCACCTGAAGCCACACTACATGCACCTTACTTCTGGGGAGCCCACAAAGCCAGCATAACTCATCTGGGTGGTGGAAGGTTCTAGAATCCACCTCGGATGTCTTCCGTGCAGCTGGACAGAGGCACGGAGATGTGAGGCCTGGGACACACAAAAGCCAAAAAAAAAAGAGAGCTGGTACTCCTTGGTGATTTTACTCACTGCTCCCGTCTCAAAATCTGTGAGCCACGAGTGTTCTCCACGCTGGGCATGCAGAATGTAGGAGAGCTAAAACAGTCAGGCAGTCGTGTCTAAAACAGTACAACCCCCTCGTAACCTTCAGATAAGGTGAAAAATGCATCAAAGCTTTTCCTGGCATCTCTCAGCTGGATGGGCGCTGGCGCCCTCTTGTGGCAGGCTGTGAGTCATCACCATGGCATGCCTGTCTCCCCTGGCCTGGTGTATTGTGAACACCTGTTGTCACGTAGTGGTGTCCCCAGCTAAGAGGTCTTGTGGATTGTATTACTAAGTTCTTAACTAAGCACCCCTCAGTGGGTATACAAGTTCAAGCAATCCTTCCAAGGAAACTGCTGATGAAAAATACTATCAAAGACATGTCTGAGTTGGCATGTTTTACTCCTAATGTGCTCTGACAATAATAAAAATCCCATTTATCACAAAGCACTGAAACACTCCAGGAGACAGCTGAAAAATGGAACTATATGTGCAATTGTTAATGATGAATTGTGCCTTGACATATTAACGACAGCAAGAGGGTTTAGGAGTTCCAGTATAACAAAAGTGCGAACAATGCTTGCTGCATATTAACACCACATTGACTGCTAGCTGCCATTATTTTAAAATATTATTGGCTTGACATTAACAACTTATTTAATAAACAATTATATGGAGATTGTAGTACAGTTACACATCACTAAATGAACAATCTACTTTTAACGGATGGTGTGGTGAGGCTATTCCAGAAACAGTTATTAAAGGGATGGTGTGCCCCGGCTGCCTTCCATGAAGATACTCATTACCTCATTTGGTCAATACCCGTCTTCACCACTCTGCCAGGCGCTGAGGTGCTGCTGTGACCATCCGGGGCCAGGTTAACAGTGTGACAGGGCATCACAAGTGTGGACTCCCACTCTGAGGGAAACAGCAAGACAGTCGCCTTTCTTCCTCTCCCACAGACTGAGAGAAGATCATCTCCCATTAGGGAAACGTGGAGCTCACAGGTTTCTAACCCCTTTCTACATGCGGTGTCTCCAAGGATGGCTTGATTCCTATCAAGTTTCTGCCCAGCTTTCCAGGTACCACGGTAAGGACGGTGATTCGGGGTGCAGAAGACGTGTTCTCGGCATCCCAACCGCTCCGTTTTCAATCTCTGCTTTCCTCTGATATTTACGGTAGCACAGGCTGTGAGCGAGGACCAAGTCCATGAAGAATCAGGCGAGGGAAACGTAAATAATCGAACGAACGTCCTTCCAGTGATGTTCCACCGAGGATCATCAGTCCATTTGCAGTTAACCACATCTCTCTGAGCATGTCATTCAGATATTTTGTTCTCTCATGTTACAAAATCCCTCACTTCGTAGACATTTAATAATCATTTATGACTACACTATGAAATGTAGCCTTGGTCCAATTTCTTCAATATGACAAGGCAGGAAGAAGTAAGACACATTGGCACTCATGGGGACACTGCAGGTTTACCCTCTGCCTCTAGTGCTAGCATCTCATATGGGCACTAGCTCATGTCCTGGCTCCTTCACTTCCCATCCAGCTCCCTGCTTGTGGCCTGGGAAAGCAGCGGAGGATGACCCAGATCCTTGGGTCCCTGTCTCAGCGGATTTCTGACCAGCAGCTCCCCAAAACCACTAGGGGGTGAGGTGATAGTGGTTCAGCTGAGCCACTGCTGAACTACAGGAAATAGTCTGGTCGCACATGTCCATTTATTGTAAAGTGAGCACAAACTTATACAGACTAATAAAGGGGAAGGCAGAAGGGCATCTCCCAACAGTCCTCCTACCTAACAGTGACACTGTGATTGGCTAGAAGGCATATCCACCTCTCTGGACTCTCCAATCACACAGTAGGTCACACACGACATGCCTGGTGGCAGGTATGCCTCAGGTCACAGGCACTACCTGTGGGTCACATACAACATGTAGGCTGCCAGGTAATGTGGACCACACCTGGCTTTTCAGAACTGCCTATCAAGGAAGTTCCAGGACAGCTCCTTCAAGGCCGGAGAAGAGAGACTGGGATGCAGCCACCATTCTCACCTGCATGTGGTCAGGCCAGGTTCAGGTCTCGGTGAGCCTAGACTACTGTCGGGGGTTCCCCAGGGGAGTCGGTGTTCCACGTACCTGCAGTTTCCCGCATGAGCCAAGCAGGCAGAGATTCAGGGGCGGTCTCCCACACCCCTTCAACCACCTGGGAGAGCCAGAAAGAGCTCCTTGCTCCTGGCTTCCAATCATCTCAGCTCCAGCTGCTACAACCATTTGGGCAGTGAGCCAGTGGATGGAAGGTATCTTTCTCTCTCCCTTTCTCTCTCTATAAAATCTACCTTTTAAATAAACAAACCATTAAAAATTCTGGAAGGAATTAAGATCAGTTGTATAAATTCTTTTTTTTTTTTTTTGGTTTTGCATGGCAATTTCATCCCCTATTTTAATAAACTGCTAATTGAAATATTCTTACCTCACCACTTTACTCATTTTAAAAATGGTTCAAATTAGTTATTTTCACTTTATTTGAAAGGCAGAGATATACAATCTTGTACCTGCTGGGTCATTTTCCTAACGTTTGTAACAGCCAGGGCTGGGCCAGTCTGAATCCAGGAGATCAGATCGCAGCCTCGGTTGTCCCCATGGCTGGCAGGGACCCACGCACTTGAGCCATCATGTGCTGCCTGCAGGCGTACACATCAGTAGGAAGCTGGGTTGGAAGCAGGCACCCCAACACAGGATGCTGGCGTCTCAAGTGGCAGCTTAATCACTTGGCTAAATATCAACCCCTCAGAATCCATTACAGAAACTATCGTAAGCACTGCCAAAATAATACCGAAATGCAGGTGTAAGCATCCAAGTTACACTAACCACAGCAACAGTAACAGGTGACACGAATATTAGCACACGCCAGGTACTGTCAACTTTTCATATCAACTCATGTCCTATTTTCAACTACATATGGTGGCAGGAGCTAGGATTCCCAGTATGCCGCACATGGCTGCCCTTGTGGGACCAGAAACAACCTTCACTTAACGCTCTGGGTGAAGCAACCCTTCCAGGAAGCAGATGAAAAAGACAGCAGGTCTTCTGTCCAGAGAGTTGAGCCCGCCCCATCCCAACTTCCCTTTTAGCTCTCCCCTGCTCAACCTGATCCCATTTGCCCTGAATTCCCACAGTGCTGCCCCAACCTCTGCTGAGCAAGACAGGCAGTGTTCCTCTCCCCTGCGGTGCACTGGGTCAGGCTGCCGGCACAGCCACCTCCTGTTATTGTAATTAGACCCTGAACTAACACACACTGAAATCACACACTTTGATGTGTTTTGACTACATGAAACAACATAAGGGTGCTCCTAAGGAAATAAGACTTGGGAAGGTCTACAAGTCTTGTTTCAATCTGTTGCAAACGGGGAGTCAGACCTGGGGGGAAGCTGTCCTGGGTCGCTCAATGCCCCAACTTTTCCCACCCACACATCTCAACTCAGAACTAAGGTGGCCAGATGCCCTCAGGAGTGAAGCCTTTCTTGCTTCTCCTCCTCTTCTTACCGCATCCCCAAGGATGACTGCCTGGCTGGGGACTGCAAAACAAAAGCCTGCAGACAAGCTGTGCTTCTTCACTGGTGGATGGCAATCAGTATGATAAATAAAACCTCCCTATGAGCTTTCAAATCACAGAAAAACGTTAATGAGTGGCAATAAACCTCAACAAATAAAGATTTGTTTATTCATGAGAGAGAGAGAGAGAGAGAGAGAGAGAGAGAGAGAGGCTTTTACTGTTTTTACTTCTCAAATGGCTGCAACAGCTGAGACTGGGCCACATCAAAGTCAGGAGCCAGGGGCTTCATCTGGGCCTCCCACTTGGGTGGCAGAAGCCTGGCTACTTGGTCAATCTTCTACTGCGTTCATTATTGGGAAGCTGGATCAGAAATGGAACAGCCAGGTCTACAAGTGACACTTGGGCATGCGATGCCACTGTCGCAGGCAGTGACTTAGCACACTGCACTACAAAGCCAGTCCCAGTGCCCACAAACAAAAACCTTCAGGTACTGCTGGGGAAAAAAGTGGTGTCCTAAGCAAGCTGACAGCACTGTTCCCATCTGGAGGCAGTGCCATGTGGAAATGCTAGCATTTAAGAATTCCTTCTTGTAACCCCAGAGAAACAGTCAGAGACACAGGGCCATCAGGAGGCCTGACCCCTGCCACGGCAAACTGGTCTCCCAGGTGTCTGACAGTGACCCCGTGCCTCTTCACACACTTACTGTCCCTAAGGTACTTCCACTTGGAAAGGTGCAATTGAGATCCCCAAAGCTGCAGGCACCTCCTGTCTAACCCCTAACCTTTCAACCTGTTCCTGCTCCAGTGATCCACTTGTCAATAGCCAGCACCCATATGGGTGCCAATTCATGTCCTGGCTGCTCTACTACCAATCCGGTTACCTGCTTATGACCTAGGAAAGCAGCCAAGGACAGCCCAAGTCCTTGGGCTCCTATATCCACCTGCAAGACCCAGGAAGAAGCTCTTGGCTTCTGTTAGTTCAGCTCTGGTTGTTGTGGTCATTTAGGGAGTGAATCAGAGGATGGAAGATCTCTCAAATAAATCTTTTTTAAAAAAAATGTCTTCAATGAAGTAATAAAGCAGAGGATTAATTTTAAACAAAGGAACTCCTCCCTGTTCATGTCTTGCCACCCTCCATGCAGCCACACCGTCTCCCAAACGCTGGAAGCCATGCGTCCTGTGCTCTCAGGGTAGCCTGTCTTTGCAGACACCTGGAGTTCTGTAGAAATATTCTTCTTACTTTTTTGTTTACAGTCTATTCACTTTTAAGGATCACAGCTAACTGTCACTTTCTACGAGGCCACTTCCCTAATCGAATATATCCCATTTCTATCTTGTTTCTCATCAGAATTGGGCTTCTAACATACCCAATCCCTCACCCCTCTGAACTTCTCTGAAGACTCACCCCGAGTGGCAGCATTCTCTCTCCCTCTTGAACTTGGCTGCAGGAAGGTACTGGAATCGTATTAAATTCATGAGGGAGGCTAGAGCATGTCTTGCTTATCTCCTGCAGATGTTTTCGTGTTCTAGACCCTGTATTCACTACCTTTTGCTAAGCATCACCAATATTTGAATTTAGGCAGTCAAGGGATGCCTTCTAGATGGGAATAATCCTGGCCCCTTTAACCATTCATTATTCTTTGTTATAAACTGTTGACGCAAAATAGAAGCCAAAATCTTGGCAATGGCCTTCAAGGTCCTCCCACATCGCTCTCAATGCCTATGACCTTTTTTGACATTTACGGCAATGCAGGTGTTCCTCATGCCTTCTCCAGTCACAAGTACCTCCTTATAGGCTGCTGACGACACTGGGCCTGTTCCCAACAGTCTTTCCAATCGTACACAATGCCAAATCTTCTCGCCGCACTTCCAAGGTCTTTGCCTACAAGTCTCCTTTTCAGCGATGCCTTCATGACTGGTATCTCACACCTCCTGGATTACTATCTTGCCTGAGTCATAACAGGGCTCCAGGCCAGTAGTTATGTCCACCCCTTCAAAGAGACTCCCGGGTTGTTTCTTCTATCAAGACCTAGAAGTGGTTTCTTGGAAACCACCAAATGTTGTAAGGGTCAACTGTTACATCACATGTGTGTGGGTGCTTCATCTATTTCAAGCATTAAAAATGTGAGTATCAATTCACTGTCCATGGCTCAGCTACTGCATGGAATGCATGAGTATGTAGACCCACCACCCCACTAACTCTGGGGACACTGTCATCTCCGACCTGGTTAAGCCTTAACACCTTACAGTGGGCACAAATGTTCTTTGTCCAGTAGAACCAAGGATACTGGGGAGAGAGAGAGTGTGTGTGTGGTGTGTGTGTGGGTGGGGTGTGTGGGGTGGGTGGGGTGTCCTTACCGAATTCTCCTTTAGTTGCAGTCCTTCCCCATTTGGAAGAGAGGACCGTCTCTTGGAGTTCCTGTTTGGCGTTGAGGTCACAGCCCCTGCCTTCTTCTTCACGGTGAGCACCTCGCAGCTGGCTTGGTCTTCATTATGTGTGCTCTTCCCGGCATTGATAACCCTGCAGAGAAAGCCAGGGCAGCTGGTCAGAGTGAGGGCCAGAAAGCTGGGCACTCAGTCCTGTCCCGAGGGCCAGCGAAGGTGGACACCAACACCCTACTTCACTCCAAGGACCGCTGGATGGGTATTTTGTATTCCTGGAATTCTCAACATTTATCACATAGGTTGATTTGCATTCATGTACCTCCACAAGGTTCTGCCACATGTGATCAAGCCCAGTGACTCACTCTAGTTCAAACACATGAAGCAACTGCTCCCTTGAGCTTAATTTGGAGCCAGGGCTTTTAGGCAACTACAATGAAGACAGAGAAACCAAATTCCCTGAGCCAGCCTAACTGCTGAAGTGTGAGGCTACTGTCGATTTTCTCAAAGCACATGGCAGTAACTGACAGCATCCTACAGAGTCGGAGGAAACGGATGTTGGTTTTTCACTATGCCATCTCATTTTTAAAAATCTTTATTTTTGAAATTCTTATTGGAAAATCAGATATACAGAGAAGAGACACAGAGAAAGATTTTCTATCTGCTGATTCACTCCCCAAGTAGCCTCAATGGCTGGAGCTGAGCAGATTCGCAGCCAGAAAACAGGAGCTTCTTCTGGGTCTCCCACATGGGTGCAGGGTCCCAAGGCTTTGAGCCGTCCTCGACTGCTTTCCCAGGCCACAAGCAGGGAGCTGGATGGGAAGCGGGGCTGCCAGGATTAGAACCGGTGCCCATATGGGATCCGGGCATGTACAAGGCGAGGACTTCAGCCACTAGACTACCACGCTGGGCCCACCATCCCTTTTTTATCTGATGTGCAGGAAAGTGAATAGATCAAAACCTAACTTTTTTTTTTTTCAATAATTGACTTATTTGAAAGAAAAAGATCTCCCATCTATTGATACATTCCCCAAATGTCTACAATTAGAGATGGGCCAGGAGTTAGGAACTTGACCCAGTTCTTCCAGATGGGTGGCAGGACCCCCAAGCTTATGAGCTATCACTGTTCCTCAAAGTCTGCACTCATAGGGAAGCTGAGCTGGGTGCCAAGTGGGTACTGCAACCAGGCACTCAGGGATGAGAGCTGAGTTCCTAAGCCACCAAGTTAAATGTCCCACCCCCCGAGGCTTACTTCTTTTTTTTTTCCTCGAAAGTTGTAGTTGGAGAAAGAAAGTGAAAGAGAGGGAGAGCAAGCGAGCGAAGGAATCTTGGAACTGCTAGTTCATGGCCAAAATGGCCACAATGGCCAGATCTGGGCTGGTGTGGAGCTGGGAGCTAGCAACTTCCTTTGGATCTCCCACGTGGGTGCAGAGGCCCACGACCTTGGGCCATCATCTGCTGCTTTCCCAAGTGGGGAGCTGGATCAGAAGTGGAGTAGCTGGGACACAAACCAGAACCCATGAGATACCAGTGCCTCAGGTAAAGGAGCAGTTTGCTATGCCACCACGCCAGCCCCAAGATTTACTCTTAAGCATGCTGATCTGATACTGGAGTTCTCATTTGCTTATACCTACAATGCCATGAAACACATTAATAGCAGAAAGCTAAACTTGTAACTGTTACTAAGGGAATATACTACTGTGATAATCTGGGGAAAACAGGAAGGACAGAAGGGGGTGAGGAAGGAGGAATCCCTATACCCACAATACTATATCATGGGGAGGGCAGTGCCATAGCCTAGTGGCTGAAGTCCTTGCCTTGAATGTGTCAGGATCCCATATGGACACCGGTTCTAATCCCAGCAGCCCTGCTTCCCATCCAGCTCCCTGCTTGTGGCCTGGGAAAGCAGTCGAGGACGGCCCAAATCCTTGGGACCCTGCACCCATATGGGAGACCCAGAAGAGGTTCTGGGCTCCTGGTGTCAGATTGGCTCAGCTCCAGCCATTGAGGCTGCTTGGGGACTGAAATCAATGGATGGAAGATTTTCCTGTCTCTCCTCCTCTCTGTATATCTGCCTTTGCAATAAAAATGAATAAATCTTTAAAAACTGTATCATGTGAAAATATTAACTAAATAGTTTTTATGAAAAGCATGTTGAATTCTCTTTTGCCCCATAGACTAGCACTCATACATTTTATCATTACACTGGGCTATCACCACTGTGACTTGTAAATGTCAGCTAGCTGGTAATAAGATGCATCCTAGCATGTTGTGTCTGCTTTGGTCTCTTATGGCTAAAATGCTAAAATAAAGGAATGCTTCAGAGGAACAGGCTACATCACTCCCACACTCTGTGTGAGGCGCCTGCAGACTCAACTCTTAGGCCCAGCACCATTTAAGCAGCAGCTAAAATAGATTTCTTGAAAGAGAGCTCTCCTTGATGTGCCATTGGATGTGCTTTCCCCCCCGCCCCCAAAAAACTGCACCGGGGTCATGGTAGCTAACAGTCAGCACAAAGCGCAAAGAACACAGTGGGTCAAGGAGAGAAAAGGTGACTTAAAAAAACAAACAAACAAACAAACAAATTATGTGGAAATTCACTCTGCCAGTGTGGTTTGTATACTGACCTATTGATCTGGTTATACATCCTTCTACAGCTAAGCAAAAACAAACAAAAAACTACCATGTTTAAATGGTCATTTTTAAACAATGTTAAATTCTGCAGTAGATATAGACCCAGAGTAAGTTGCAAAAACAATAGAGCTCTGTGGACCCCTCGCCCAACTTGCCTAACAATACCATCTTATTCACTCAAAATACACATCAAAATCAAGACACTGACACTGATGTGGCACTGTCACCCAGACTACAGACTCAATTCAGATTACACATCCAACAGCTTTTAGCACTGAAGATCGCAGAGGTCTCCATAAACGAACACGCACATATACATCCTAACCAAAGATCAGGGAGGAAGCAACTTGAAGTATGAATGCCAAGATGTAGCAGAATGTGTTTCAGGCAATCTTCTGCCAAACCACGGGATTTTTATGACGGTGTTTTAGATGTTCTAACACTTTACTTAAATTTACTTTATATATACACATGCATGCATACTATATAGACATAGAGGCAGGTCTCAAAAATAGTAATTTGAGGTCCATTCCCATCTGTTCATATGAAAAAAATTCATTAGTCTATATATTTTGGGCAGTTTGGGAATCATAAGCCTTCAACTGACCAGTGTCACTTGATTGCAAGGAGAACTACTCAAAATTCAATTTGCATTTGCAACTACTTCTCTGCATTTCTAAGAAAAAGACCTGCCAATCACCTGCCATTTCCTGTATCTCAAATTTATGTAACCAAATTGTCCTGCAACAAAAGCATATTTATGCAAACAAAAGCCTAAGGGCTATTATGACTTTTTTTTTCCTCTTTTGCAAGATTTCTTGTTAAAAGGATATGGCTCCTGGTAGCCCATGTCAGTCTCCGAGTTCAGGTCAGTCTCTGGTGCCTGTCATTGGCTGGAAGGGGCTTAGAGATGGGGGAAGGGTGTGTACCTGTTTTCCTGCCCTATCTTTGGCCTCTCTCCTCTAAGAGAATTCCTGTTTGGCTTAAGATGCCATTGTTGAGGTCACAAAGAGGCTGCCTGCAGGAGGAGGATTAACACTGCCAGGCTTGCTGCCCCAGCCAAGTAACACAGCCCAATGTCACGGCTGCAATGCAGAATGAGATCCACGTTGGTCCCCAACCCAGCTTCTTCCCTACACCACCGGGGCCTGGAAGCGGGCCAGGCGGGACTGCGCAAGGAAGGCCAGACCAAGCAGATGGGGCAAGGTTTGGCCGAGGCCTGAGAGAAGTAACGCTCTCTCCTTGCTTCTCTGGTTATTAAAGGAATTCAGGGAAAGACCCAGGGAAAGGGAGGTGATAGGTGGCTTCGATTTGCCTGTTCCTAGAGATGTTTGTGCTTAACCCAGGTCAGCTAGGCAAGGGATGCAGCTGGAGCTCACAAGACAAAGATGCATTTGTCTGGAGTGACCCTTTTGCATGTACCATCGGAGAACCAAACCAGGCTGGGGAAAGAAGTTTAAGCTAGCACCTGCCTCTTCCCAGTCGCGTAGAGCGACTTCCCAAGCAGCAAGCCTCAGGTAGAGCAGTGATCTGACTTTGACATTGCACCACCATGGTCTCCCAACCAAGAGCCTTCCCTAGGGAACACTGAGTGGAGGCAGGCTTGGGGAAACGAGTGCATGACAATCATCTTCCCTACACTGTGGGATCCCAGCTGACCGCCAGCCTTTCATCCTGTGCTTGTACTCAGGCGAGTGTGCATGCATCAGCTGGCCGCCAGCCCTTCATCTTGTGCTGTACTCAGGCGAGTGTGCACGCGTACATGGGATCTGTTTACGCATGTGCCAAGCTGACTGCACTCACAGGGGGTACGTGGATGCATGTGCGTGTGTGCTCACGTGGGCTCTAGGCATGTGCCAGGCTGACTGTACTCACAGGGGGTACGTGGATGTGTGTGCACGTGTGCCAGGCTGGCTGTACTCACAGGGGTGTGTGCTTTGTACACGCACATGTGAGCTCTAGGCATATGCCAGACTGACTTCTCTGTCACCACCATTTTCTAACAGTTAAAAAAAAAACTATCATTACAAAAACCACAAATCATGGGCCTCTAAAAGTGTCTCGACTTTTAGTGCTCCTTTTAGTAGCTATTAAACTCCAGGGCTGACCTAGCTTCAGTAAGAGGTCCTGGAGACCTTATTTTAGGTTAAGAAACCTGGGAGACTGCGACCTGTCACGGAGCTAAATACGGCAGAGCTGTGAACACGCCTCTGAGGCACAGCTCCTGCTGCTCCTGCTCAGCCCATCTTACTGTCCTATCATGCGTGTATTTCTCCTCGGCGCTTGGTTCAGAGCCGTGGGCTGGGATGACTCATCGAAGCTGCAGAACTGAGAAAAGACAGCGCCTGGGAGCCTACTTCGCTGATTCACATTGAGTATAGCTTGTGACTAACACTCACCAGCTATCAGAAAGCTACAAGTGTCAAGCTCGGGGCACATGGCAGTGCCACCTCTGTAAGCCAGTCTGCTGAGATACCTATCAACCAGATGCTATAGATTTAAATA